CGAACTCATGCGGAAGTGGCTTTAGCTTCTCAGTGCTGTGCTTTAACCCGCTGCGCCACCAGGGAGGGCCCCAGTGTTGTATTTTTAACAGGTCTTGTAGGTAATTCTGATGTAGACAGTCCTTAAATCCAAAGAAACCCAAAATGGGGGGCATTGTGAAGAGAGGAAGTAGTTCAGCTGGCTTTTAAATTATGTAGAATCACAGGCAAAGTCTTCTTTTTTAGGCAAAGTTTTCTTAAGAGTAAAGGCTTGGGATTTTATAACAATGAAAAGGTATAATTCTCACTTGCTGTGAGGATTTGAGAGGGAGTGGGTAGCAACTGAATAAAAAAGCAGTAGTCCCACTCATAGTGGGAATTTGCAGATGGTATATGCTGTATGCTGCAAAGCATAATTATGTAGGTGGAACAGTGGTCAGTTTAAAAATATACTCTTCTCGTAAGTTTGACTGTCATTTTTTACCACTTTTTTTTTCTTTAAGATTTATTTATTTTTTGCATTCAAAAGCTGGGAGTGTGGGCCAGAGGTGCAGGGGGTGAGAGGGTTTATCACAGATAGAGTGGGAGGCAGAACAGGCGGATCTACATTGCTGAGTGGGAGCAGTGGACCAGACAGGAGAGGCCTGCTGTACCATGTGGGTCAGCTCCCTGGCAGTGGCTGAGGACAGTGTCATAGTGCTGAGAGTTAACCCTTTGTGCCACCAGGGAGGCCCCTTCTTACCATTTTCTTAAAGCCAGGGGTTATGCTTTATCTGTATAACTTTATGAATATAGAAATACAATATCTATTAAGGGCTGGACAAGATACACACCACCATAAAATGGTGAAAGTGTAAATGCAGCAGTTATATAGCAGAATAAAGGTAATGGGTAAAGCAGAGTAAAGGGAAACTTTGCTTTATCTGATAGTGGTTGGCTTTTAGGATGCCCTTATAATTTAAATGACTGGGGAGTTATAATTCTTTTTTCATTTACTTGCTTAAACATTTATTGAGCATTTACTTTGTGCCAGGCACTGTTCCGGGGGCTACTAAGATGAAAAAAATATAATCTGTGGGGGAAAAAAAGTGTTTATAAATGGATGACCACACTATAGTGTGAGGTGTTTCTCATGGCAGTTTTATTTATTTGTTTTTTGTTATTTATCAGTCTTCCCATGAACAAATTCCTTGAAATATTGCACTGAGACTCAAAACAATGACCAGTGATAGATAACTGGATTCAGATACTACTTCCACTTAATTCAGAGTAGGCAAACTATGGAGAGATGACCAGATTTGCACAGTTGGTTAGGTTTTTAGACTTTGGGGTCACAGAACTATGATCAAGTCTGGGCCCAGGTGCTTACTTTCCATGAGTACTTAGGAGAGTTGGTTAATTTCTTGAGCCTCATTTTCCTCTTCTGTGAGATGGATAGATAAATAATACCAGTGTCTATAGGTTATTCTGGAAATCAAATGGGATCATATGTGTAAGAGGTTTACATAATCCCCAGTATAAAATAAATGCTCAACAAATGTTAGTTTCTTTAAAAAAAATATGTATATTTGCAATTCAAAGTGGATTAAAGACCTAGGCATAAGAACGGAAACCATAAAATACCTGGAAGCAAAGATAGGCGCAACACTACATGACATATACTTCAGCGACATCTTTGAAGATAGAGCACCCAATGCGATGATAATGAAGTTAAAGAGCTTCTGTACAGCAAAAGAGACATTACAAAAAAAAACAAAC